TCCACTTAGCACAATGTCTCCCGACATTGAGAGACTCTCCATTGCTCCACCAATTACTGGTTTTCTTGGCGAGTTTTTGCTATCTTGCATGTTGGCTAAACATTCCATGTTGGTGGAATTCATTCACCAACGGTACCTCATTTTTTTTTCAGCTGAGGGTGAAATTGACTAGAGCCATGGTTCTATCTCACTGGTCAGAAACCACCTAGGGGTCCTATAGACACCAATCCACTTAATCGTGGACGCATTTGCATCTCAACGATCCTCAGACAAATGGGATCCACTCTGTCTAAAGCTTAGTCTTAGGGGAGAGAGCTTCATTAGTTCTTGTGGGTATACCAGAAATTGTCCACTCCCTTAATGAACCTGCACTGCTAAGTAATGGTGTTTAGAGACCTATGTTACATTATCAAGTTTAGGAATGGTCTTCCCCCATATCTAGCCATCCTGCATGTAGACTGTCTTGCCTTGGCTCCCAAGTCAACTTTCTCTAGATCGTATGCTCGTACAACATTGGATTTGGAGTACTCCCTGGGGTATTGAATAATTTTTGCCTTTCACCCACTCAGAGGTATCACAAACCTCCACAACAGCGAGATCCTGGCCATGACACTTTTTATTCTTATCTGTGGTATTTTCTGACATACAGGTTTCCTAAAATTAGAGACCATTAAATGAAGGTTTGAAGAATACCAAGTTATGAAGTGTGTATATATGTTTTCTTTAAATTCTAACTGAGTTTACATTGAAGAAAGTGTCAAAATACGGAAGTTTACAACAATAATATTTATTGACCAAACATAAATCAGAATCAGAATACATAAAACAAAGGCAAGTGCTTGTGCTGAACTGGTAAGAGAAAGGTAGAGAAACCTTTAATATGTTTCCCTTACCAGTTCAGCGTGATTCCCACTGTAGAACAAAACAATACCAACAAGTTAAGTAAATACAAACTGCCTAAAATCTTCAAATAAAGTTAACATTGACGATATCAAAAATTAAACTCAACAAAATGTAATTTTACAGTGGCAAATCTGGCTTTAAATACTAAATGTAATAACATTCACAAAGCCAGTCTTGCACATAACTGCATCTCACATATATGACCTTTGTTCACTGGGATATGAGCGCAACTGCATGGCAGCCTCTTGCCAATATCTGATTCGCTCTACAGAAACAACAGTCGATCATAAAACCTCATGAGCTATCTTTCCTGTAAGAAAATATGGTTAAAACTGCCAGTTAATGGTTCCACGTCTGTCTTCTGTGCACCAGAGAAAGGAAATTTTTGTTGTTTACTTGAGGGGCCTTTAGGATCCAAACTGAAACGAAAGAAAATAAAGAAATTTCGAATATTTATAAATTAACTAAGGGGGTGATTGGGGTGGGTGGGTATAACGCATGGTACAGTCCTGTACTATAGCTGGTACACACACTAACATTTAACCTGGTCAGCAGAAGAGTCAGATTTATCTTGACGTTGTTGGACTTATATACAGTTCCAAACTGAAAGTCAATAATACGAATGATTAAAATAAAAACATGAAAAACGGTGACTATAAACTTGCTAAGGATAATGACATTTTTAATCCCAATAGCAAATCTACTTTATAACTCTTTGTCTACTAAAAAAATATATATATATAATATATTCTACAATTATTTATCTGTTTAGATAAAATATTCCTTATCCTTTTTTGTTTTGTTTGTCTTCATTCAGCTGCCTAGATAATGAAGAAGTTTAAGGTTGTTGACCATCACGTTTCGCAATTTTTTGGGCGGTGACTAAAAGCTCAGATGTGAAACTTTTTTCTTTACATCCAAATTTTTTTAATAGTTGTAACTTTTACATAATGTAATTCCTCTATTATATATTGAGGATTTAAGACGTGGAAGGTTTATTCATTTTATATCAGGGAACTTTACTCATTTTAGCAATTTAACCTGCCTTTATAATACTTTAAGTGATTACATTTTTACCGGAACACAAAAGTACTGATTTGGCTCACTAATGTGTCTGGTTTTTTTCGTAATGTATCCTTATTGTTGACTACCGTTAATGTTAAATAAGCAACAACGAAGAAAAGCTTTAGATTTTTTACTGTAAAATACTTATTATCAGAAAGATAGCCTTAGTCACCCCTTTACAACTATCACACGTTTTCAGAACTAATGTATTTTAAAAGATAAAGTGTTAATTTTCTAACAATTGCTTGTGACAAACATGTAAGTTAGTTTGAAATTAAGCACAAAGCAACACAATGGGCTATCAGTGCTCTGCCCACCATGGGTATGGAAACCCGGATTCTAGTGTTGTAAGTTCACAGACATACTGCTGTGCCACTGAGGGGATACAAACATGTAAGTAGCTAATGTGCATATAGACGCTGTATAATGAAAATCTTGTGCTGCTATACAAACAATTCGTCGTGAAAAAATTTGATAACCGTTCAAAATAAGCACTAGAAGAAACGAAACTATTCACCTGAAAAATCTATTATATTTCCCATAAGAAAAATAACAGTCAATTGTGTGATTACTGTTAAATATTTAAACTTGAGTAAATAATAAAAAAAAACCAACAACAAAGAACTAACTTCGCGATCTATTTGTTTTAGGTCCATATGAGCTAAGGACTATTGTTGTTCAAGTGATGGTCAGTGGAGAACTTGAGAACTTTAGGTCGTTTTACGTCATCGATCAAAACAAAAAACTCTATAATAGAATGTTGATTAACTTTCTAATTTCACACCTGAACGGAACTTCAGATTACGCAAAGATCCATTGATTCGAAGCTATATTAGTGCTACCAGTGCGGAACGATATGAAACTGAAACTTACTAAAAAGCCTCTACTCAATATCCTGCATGGTATTTTGCTTCTTTTTAATATAATTTGGGCCATTTTCTAACTTCTAAACTAGGGACTGCAAAATTAACTATAATTTTTTATAGTATTATCATTGCTAGAAACAGTTTAGTTACACTAATACAATACTATAGTATAATTATTAAATCTGAAAATTATTTTGCTACTAAATAGGCGCAAAATAAGACATCTTAGAAAAGAAAAACAATATTTAGAGATAAGTTTTCGAAGATTTGTACTTGAACCTAAAACATATGTAAAAATTGCTTAAAAATTAACATCCAGACTTGAGCATTCGGATTTCACACAAACCTTTTGAAATGGGATTAATTAGGTTTATATATATATGTTGATAACACAGGAAAGATTTAAAGTACAAAATATGATTTTTCAAAAAAAAAAAAAAGGCACAAACGCTTAAATGAAATATATATATTGGAACAGAATGTTAGCTTAGTAAATTCATTTTAAATAATTAATAGAAGACCAAATATAATCTAAAGTAACATTTTAACTTGATCATCGGTACGCACTAAAACTTGAAAACAAATATACTCTAATAGTGATAAACGAGTTTGAAGTATATTATAAAAATTAGGTTTATCAAGTTAATTTTGATAAATCATAAAAAGTTAACACAAGATTTTATTTATTGTATAGAAATGTCAGAAATAAAAAACAAAAATTTGATCTTAGCCCAATAGGTGAACATAAATTATCAAAATACATTACATTTTCTAAGAATACTACACACAATGCACAGTAATATATATATATTCTAAAGTTACCGTCAAATATTGGCATTGCAATGAGAAAATATATATTTCTTTGGTCGTAGACCAATTCGTTTCCCGCTGCTGAAAGTAGAAACTTTAGAATTTATGCTCCGCACTTTTAAATCGTAATTGCGTTATAAGAGTGACGGTCAAACCCCATTATTCGGTTATAGTAGCCCGAGAGTTGGTGGTGGGAGCTGTTGATTAACTGCCTTTCTCGTAAGCTAGATATAGGAAATAGGCCTTATGCAGCGTGCGCGAATATATCAAACAAACCAAAACCTTTAAGATGTTAAGTAATTTGTCCATCAAAATTTGCATACTGAAATATCTATAAGGCTGATCGAGAATTAACGTCTCAATATTTTAAGTGGTAAATACTTCATGTACAAGTATATGCTTTTTTGGTTTTGTTATAAACTTTAATGTCACAAAGATTCAATAGAATATGAACATTCTTCTATGCTTACATACGTTTTCAGTTACTTTGTATTATTCACATTTCCTTCTTTAAACGCAGTAGTTAAACAAATTCTAATTTTAAATTTCAACCATAAATACTTTAACCCACCACCATTCCCTATCCATGTACAGCATTTCAAAGAATATTTATTACGTGATTTTCTATTTTCAAAAGAGAGATTTTTCTTATTTTTTGAGAAGAAACGATCGGATATAAAAGCATAATATAAATGTAGCGCAATCTGCTTCCATATAATGTCTTATTAACATATCAATGCTGTTGCCCCTCCCAGGTGGCTCAATGGTAAGTCTGGGTGCTTGCAACAGTAAAAATCTGGTTTCGAGATACTCGCAGTGGGCACAGCTCAGATAGTCCATTGTATAGCTTTGGGCTGACAAAAACAAATAGTACTCTTTACCTTGTCCAATAATCTACCTTTTAAGCGACCTAATTGTACATAAAAAGACTTAAATGGTTCCAATTTGTAAATACATCTATTCACATTGTTCATTCAATTTTACCATTTTACAAATGATAAAATCAACAGTCATAAACAGCTGGGTCAAAACTTAGCTCATTGCTGTGAGCAGACAATTTTACAAAAATCAGTCGACAAGAATACGATTATAGGCCATTTCTGCTTTGTTTGATTTTACCCGTCTCTAACACGCTGATGTTTAGCATTGTGTTGCAAATCACTTATTACGTAAATCAAGAGCGTGTACAGGCAATACGAGGTTACAGCTATGACAAAAAAAAAATCAATTGGGCGTTTTAGTTAAAATCCTCTTTCAGAATAACTAGCACAATAACCTCACGTTCTCAGTTTAGAGGTTACTAGATTCCGGTTGAGTCCACGAGGTGTCGCTCTTGCTGTTACGCTTGGTCGAGAAGAGTGAGTGATCTATTGTAGGCTTTACCTGGCCGTAGAAAGGGAACAAGTGATGTGTGAAGTGCAGTTGTGATTTCGAAGTTGTTGCTTTTCTAGAATTCTGTGACAAAGAAGAGCATTTGCTTTATGTAATATAACAGGTAGCCAGCTTTCTTGTGTATTAATTGAGATGACAGTAACAGACACTGTCTGCTTCTGCCTCGAGGCGTAAGGTTTGCTGTGGGATCTACACGGAACATGCAAACGATCTGCACTGACAAGGGGAGTCTTTGGTGTAAGAAATCTAGACACTCGTTTTTACATTTGTGTAGGCTTACATCTTAGGTTCTGTAACGTGTGTTTAAATCACGCCATCAACCCGTTTCCGTATGGAGGGTTTAAGCTAATTGTTTTTGTACTAAGTTAAGTATTTTAGTTTATAAGATCTTAGAACTTCTCAGTGATGAATGAGTTACTCAGTTATATATTTATCATTGAAGTTACTTGTGTTTGCTGAAGAGAGAACAAGAAGTTAGCCTTGTAAGTTGTAGTATTCGAAAGCGGTGGTACAACTACATAAAATGGGTTGTAACAGTTAAAAGTTAAAGAGAGCTTTAAGCTGCAGAATTTTAGTTTAAGTTATTACAATACGTGTGTTAAATTCAACTCTGCCGTGATATGTAAAAAAAAAAACCTGGTTTTGACACATCCTCTGGTAAAACATAAACAACGAAAAAGTAACTAAAATTAATGAACGCATTCTAATGATACAATATAAAACTATTTTCACGCAGTAAGTTTGCTATGCAAAAAATGCAAATGAATGGGTTTAAAATTAAATGTAACGTTAGCGTTTTTTTGTTTTTTTCTGTAACATTTTTTTTGTATTTGTTGATCAGAAGAATTTAGTGTGAAATCTATCAAAATAAATGAAAAAAAAAAAGACTCGGGAACCAGTACGGTAGTCGATTCTGTAGAAATTTTAAATACCTTTTAAACTTTAGCCACTGACAACTATTCAGGAATGTCGAGAATAAGTACATTGAAATTATATGACAGCGACTTGATTAGCACAATATAGAACGATGTGCATATCCACAAAGCAGTGTTTATTCGTGACTTTAGTAACAATTAAAAATTCGTGATATCTAAAACAGGGAATTTAACCTCTAGTGTAGAGTTGAATATTTTGATATTCAGGAACATAAAGGTCATATTTGTATAGCGTGTTTAAAACTTGGTCAGATACGCATGTTATTTTTTTAAAATTAAGTGAATTATAAATTTTCTCGCTTGTGTGTTATAGTATTTGATGTTAACTGTGCTAAAGCTTTACTGTAATTCCAAATCCAACTGCATTTGAGGAAAAATGGTAATTCAGCCCTTGCTGTTAGTCATTTATCCAGTGGCATAAGTATGCCCTCGCAATTGCGTGGGGGGCACAAACTTAATAATTGTCGATAAGAGGAGAGACATACAGTTTAATTTTTTTGAACTAAAGAACGGTTGCACTATTCTGTGAAGTTAATCATATCAATCAGCCAGAATCGTAATTACAATTACAAGTAAATAAATCATGTAGGGGGTTCAATAACTTTTACGCGAGGAGAGGGGACATTTTTTATAATTATACCATTTCGACACTGCATTTAGCTAATGATTAGGATGGATATACGAGGAACAACATTTACAATTTTAAGTATATGTGCAGATATGTTAACTTTATCCACCTATTCATGCATTTGGTGTTTGATCAGATGTGAAAAATGTTTGCTATCTCATAGTTATTTGTAATACGTGTACCTGTAGGTGCATAGATCATTGTATAAAGATCAGAAAGGCACATTTTGTATGATATGCTAGGCGTATTCCATTAAAGTTGAGATTAACATGGGGGAGGGTCAAAATACGTTTTGATTGTGGAAGGGTGACTCCGTAGAGGGTGATGATAAATGAGCTGTGATTTTCATTATTTACATACAAAATTATACTGATAGCAAAATGAGTTATAAACTAGTTGAGATTACTAAGTTACTTGGGAATGTCGATACTGCGTTGGTTTTTAAGCATTTTACATATTTGTCACACTTATAAATGGTCGAGTAGATGCATAGAAAATATGTTTCGATATTGGAAAGTGTAAAACCATGAATTGAAGTCAATTTTAGGACTTTGTTTAATTAATGAATTCGAATGTTACATAGAGGCGAAGGATATGGGAGAGATTATTGAGAAAGCCTGAAACTTGACTGAGTGATGACGACCGTGACTTAGAGCTAACCGGGTGTTTGGTTATTTCTGTAGAAAATATGAATTTGAAAGAGTAAGATGAGTGTCACATTGTGTAGTACTTTGTTGAGACACCGTTTGGATTGGTATCTTCAACCTTGGTTTACTCAGCCATAGAAATAATATCTATTTGTCAGAAAGAATGGAGTTTAGAATAATTAGATGTCAGGAGATTATGCAGGTTTACAAATTTGAAGGACTGAAAATACCGCTGCTTTGAGGTTTTGAATTTCTGTTGTGACACAGTTGATAATGATGTCTGGAAATTAAAAATTAGCTTTGACTTGTTTTTGCTATAGATTTAAGTAATTTTCTCATAGTATTGTAAACTTATTAAAAATTTATTTTTAATATAGTGTAAACTGATAGTTTGAGACATTTTCACGTTTTTACTGGTTGAAAATACAAATATGTAATATTGAAACATTCCAAGATAAAAGAAAAAGACCACTGTGACATTAATCAACCAGTTAAGCTATTCATGGTTTGTTGTTGTTGTTTTTGTAAGAAAATGCAGTTGCTTCCATTTATTTAGTTATTTTCTAAAATAACAGTTTATGAATGGAGCGTTTGGCTTAAGAATTTTTGAAATTGAACTGTGTATACTGGCGTTAGTTTTCAAGAGACAAGAGAATCAGTAATAGTGCATGAAAAAACTCAATGTAATTTTGTATTTTTTGTAAGTTCTTTCTTTATTGCAAGTTTCATTACCAGTAGTGCTTGAATTATGCAATAGTTATAATATATTTCTTATCTTTCGTTTTTATTATATATTTTTATTATGAGGATTATTTTGATTTTTAGCTTAGTATATGGATTTAAGACTAACCTAAATCGCTTAAGCTGGCCAAACCTCGTGGGAAATTATTGGGATTACGGTAAAAATATCGCTAACAGCCAGGGTACCTAATTGATGAATCAGTACATTCTAATCATTATAAGAAAGGTATATTAAATTAGCTAGTTAATTATTGGGCTAATTTTTAGTTCTAATGTAAGTAGGTAGCTTTCTTTGATCAGAAGTTAATGGTTATATATATATATATAGATTAATAATATATTATTTGACCAACAAACTGTTACAAAATATCTTGTTTATTTACCTTTTCACAGTTTTGATTTATTCATGTAACGAGACGAACATGCACGCCCTTTTAGCCGTGGAAAAATTATAATGTGATGATCAATCCCACTATTCTTTGGTACGGTGTAGCCCATAAGTTGGCGTTGGGTGGTGTTGACTAGCTGCCTTTCCTCTAGTCCAGGGATTCCCAACCATTTTGTTCCTCTGTACCCCTTAGCCTTGGGCATTCTGACATCATAAGGATCAAAAATTGATAAAATGATATTGATTTTATATTATTTT